TATGTGCTATATTCTCATGCTTTTCTTGTTGTCCATTTTTAAACCAGTTTTTATTTTATAAACTTATTATTACAAATTTCCTTCTTATTTTGTCAAAAAAGAAAAACACAGTTGCCAACTATTATAAAATAAAGAAAAAAAAGTCACTTTTTAATTTAAAAATTTGTTACCCTAGTGGTTTTTGAAAATACAACATCCAAAAGAAAAAAGAAACTTCCAGAATAATTAATTGCTTGGCACTAGTTCTTTATCTTAGTTGTAAAAAACAAAAAAGGATGAATTAATTTTCCTTTTTCCCCAACTTCTTGCCTCTGTTTATTTTCTTTTATAATTAATATAAATCTCTTTTTCTTATAGCCACTTAATTTTAAAATATACAAAGAGAATCAACAAAAGAAAATTTAATCCATTTTTCACAGCCAGAAAAAAAAAACATATTTAATAGGAATCTAATAAAACTATAAAAGGGGCTCCTCTTTTTTTTTTAAAGATTCCAAACTATCACTATATATAATAATAATAATAATTAATCAACTAAACTATTAAGATTTTCTATCGACAAATAATAGTAACATATAATTAAATGAAATCATGCATCTATTGATTTGCCGTAAACGCTGCTTACAACTCTATTTAAAAGAAAAATACTCCCTAATAGTTTTTTTTATAACCAAAAACTCAAAATTCCAAACTTTTTTATTACTAATTTTTTTATTTTTTGGGTCAAAATGTTGTGAATACCTCATACCTAAAAAAGTCTCACCACCCCATATAATATACCCTCTCTTCCATTTTTTTTTTTGGTCTTTCTTCTCAATCAAAATTAGTCCTTTTTTTTCTCTTCTTCTTCCTCTCCTCTGTAGAGACTGAGACTTCATTTTTTTTTTCCACTTCTCATGCATTACAACTCTATAGAAAAATACAACAAAAAAGAACTAAACTTTGGGTGTCCATAACTGATAAAAGGGGTAAAACAAAATAATACCCAACAAAATAAAAAATAAAAATGGTGAACTATTATATGTTTTTTTTCATATTTTTATCTTGTATTCTTGTTTTGGTTTCTGGGTTTTCAAGAAATTTGCCAATTTTAGCTTTTGATGAAGGCTACTCTCATTTATTTGGTGATAATAATCTTATGATCCTTAAAGATGGAAAATCAGTTCATATTTCTCTTGATAAAAGAACAGGTTTGTTCTTTTTTTTTTTTCTAAAAAAAATAAATATTATTGAGGAGAATTTATTTATTTTTTGTGTTTTTTAATGGATGATTTATTTTACAGGGGCTGGATTTGTGTCTCAAGACCTTTATTTTCATGGATTTTTTAGTGCTTCTATTAAGTTACCTGCAGATTATACAGCTGGTGTTGTTGTTGCATTTTATGTAAGTTATTATTAACTCACTAATGATTTTTTTTTTTTTTATATAAATTAGAAGTTTTTTGCCTGTCATGAGTGAAAGTTTTGATTTTTTCAGTTTTTTGTTTTCACACCTATATGGATTCTTGATGATTTTTTCATGTGTTAATTTATTTTGTAAAATTTTCTTGTGTAAAGATTGGATTTTTAACCTCCCGCTGATGTTAATTTGTAAATTTTCAGTCTGTGTTATGTTAATGAAATGAGCTAAAAGTTATATTTTTCATTATGTAAAGTAGTAGAAGTTTTTGCTTCCCATGAGCGAAAGTTTTGATCTTTTTAGATTTTTGTTTCATACCCACATGGATTCTTGATGATTTTTTGCATGCTAATAGATTTATCACCTTTTTCCTCAGTTTTTAACATTTTTACCTTTAAAGAATGGATTTTTAATCATCTAATGGAAATTGGTAATTTTCAAATTGTGTTTATAATAAATTATCAGTAGCTTTTGCTTCCCAGAGGTGAAAGTTCTGATCTTTTCACACTTTTCTTGATGATTTTTAACGTGTTAATTAATTTTGTAAATTTCTCCTTTTGAATGGTTTTTTAACCATCTAATGGGAATTGGTAATTTTCAAGTTGTGTTGATAATGAAAACTAAAATCTTGATTTTTTTGTTGAATTTTTACTAAATTTGGTTGATGACAGATGTCTAATGGGGACATGTTTGAGAAGAACCATGATGAAATTGATTTTGAGTTTTTGGGAAATATTAGAGGCAAAGATTGGAGAATTCAGACTAATATTTATGGGAATGGTAGCACAAGTGTTGGCAGAGAAGAAAGATATGGACTTTGGTTTGATCCTTCTGAAGATTTTCATCAATACAGTATCCTTTGGACTGAGAATTTGATCATGTAAGTTACACTAGTAGTTAATAGCTCTGCCCTTTTAATGTTTTATTCCTAATTTTGATCATGTATGTGGTCTATGGGCGGAGCTAGGTCGAAAAATTACACCATATATCATAGATATTGAACCCCCTTGGTGAATATCTTGGTTCTGCCACTGGTGTGGTTTGTAACCTATGTTGCTCGGACTCGAAATGTAGTGGATTTTTGGAGGATTTGACAGGGGGTACGAGTACGACAACATTTTTAGAGAGTTAGGTTGTAACAACTTTTTTGCTTTTCATACCATGAGTTTTCACATCCAGCTATTGTTCTGAACAATCTTTAGTCCTCTGAGCTGTGATCTCTTGTCTGATATGATGTTAAAATGGTTTCCTTTATGAGTAAAGGTTCATTTAGATGTCTGTGTTTTGTGATACACATGTTTCTGTTTTTAACCAATTTTGTATGAAGTACGAGAATCATTACCAAGTTTTTCATAGTTAAGCTGAAGAATCAAATTAATAGAACAATGTGTGACTAGAAATATTGTTCTGATATATTGTCACAAGATTTTGGATTGATTTTTTGTGTCAATGAATGTACATGAGTGACAAGGCCTTTCTTAACATACCCTTTTGTTGGCATGGGACTATGGGAATCTTTTGTTTGTTTCTTTTTATTATTTTGCTTGAGATGGTAAATTCCCTATTATGACGGTTGTGCTCGTCTTGGACTTGGCTGTGCCCTTTTGGGCTGGTCAGGCTCATGTGATGCCAACATCAACAAGGAATGGGGGTAAGGTCTGCGTACACATTACTCTCGCCAAACCCCACGTATGGGATTGCATTGGGTTTGTTCGGACTCTTCAAAAATGCAGCCTATTGTGTGTCTGATCCTCCAAAAGTAGTGTATATTCGGAAGGATCAGACACGGATGCGGCAACATTTTTGGAGAGTCCGAGCAACATAGCTGTCATGTACTTTGTGGACTCTTCAAAAATGCCACCCTGATTCTGTTTTGTTTGTATTTGTGTTGTTTTTTATCTTGTTGCAGCTTTTATGTAGATAATGTCCCCATAAGAGAGATCAAGAGGACAAAAGCCATGGGTGGTGACTTCCCATCTAAGCCAATGTCTTTAATAGCTACAATATGGGATGGTTCTAATTGGGCAACAAATGGTGGAAAATACAAAGTCAATTACAAATACGCCCCGTATATCGCTGAGTTCTCCGATTTCCTCCTCCACGGATGTGCAGTCGATCCAATCGAACTATCATCCAAATGTGACAATGCTACGCCAAAAACTCCATCGATCCCTACCGGTATCACCCTTGACCAAAGACGAAAGATGGAGAATTTCAGAAAGAAGCAAATGCAATATTCATACTGCTACGACAAGACTCGGTACAAGGTCCCTCCTCCTGAGTGTGTGATTGATCCTAAGGAAGCTGAACGACTCCGAGCCTTTGACCCCGTTACATTTGGAGGATCCCACCACCATCACGGGAAACAACACCGCCGGAGCTGATCAAAGTTGAAGGAGGATGATGATGTATCCTTTATGTAAAAAAAACCCAATGCCTTGAGTTTTTCTCTATATAGTCACATGATGATGATCATTTGAGGTTTTGTTATTTTCACATGTGAATAGAGGATATAAAAGGATATATTGTTGGGGGTATGTATATATGTCATACCTATATAGGGGTCCCAAGCCATGTTCTAGCTGATGTATTTTGTTGTTTGGGCCTTTAATTTATATTCAACTTGTTGGTGATTTTGTGTACTTTTTTTGTGGAACTTTTTAATAAATGCATGAATAGTACAAAGATTATTTATTATACTTTTGTGTGTTCTTTAAACATGTTTGTTGCTATTCATTATGTCTTATTATAAGTTTTTATTAGGCCTCTCTTGTCATGTTGTGAGGACCATTTGTCAAAAATCCAAAGTGTCTGATTGTGACTGCTGGAAATCTAAAGACCATATTATTATCTTTTGCCAATTGTGGGGTGGGGTGGTAAATATACACATTTATTCTTTACTACATCTCTTGAATTCGAGCGTTAGAAATGAAATTGTATTCGAGGTCTTGAATTCAAGCTTTGAGAATGGTGTTGCCTTTGAGAACATAGACAATGATAAAAGATTGATACTTCAAACTTTAGAAACTTCGATCGAACATATATGATGACGAGTTCAAGCCGTGAAATTAACAACTAATGCTTGCATAAGGGTATTGTCTACATCAACATATGGCCCTTCCCCCAAATCTGGCCTGAGTGAGGAATGCCTAAGTACTTTGTTGTAATTTACATGTTAAAAGTATTGAGTTCAGATGAAACCAGTAACATAAAGCTACATCCGATACCCATACAATTAACCCAATAACCCAATTATCGGTTCGTGTTATTGATTTAACCATTACTTTGCACAACCCTAAGTTGAACAAATGAAATATATCACCTAATGAGAAGAAAAGACAGGGGCTTAACCAAATGTATACTCATCTCTCCCTTAAAATATTGGCAACTCTCCCACGATGATGACATACTCGGTGTAGTCCCACTAGGAGCTTACCCCTACCTCATAGGTGATAGAGAGACTGTTTCCGATAGACTCTCGACTCAAGGATTTCAATCAAATAAGTATTTAAAAATAAAATTTAAAAACATACACTGGATTAACCAAAACAGAGGTGCTAAAAATAGAGGATTAAAAACTGGTAAAACAACCAAGACAGAGTCAATGGCTCTTGTTCTCTTTGGTCTTGAGTTCAACTACTAGCTTGAAGCCTTAATGGGTCAAAAGGTACCTCCATCATGATCATGATGTACATGTTCTATCTCAAAACAGAACTCAAAAAGAAGATATTAGAGTATTATATAAGAAATAGAAATAAAAACATGTTCGAGTAGGGTCAGTTGTCGAATGGCGTAGATCCGCATTAGAAGATTAGGATAGTTATGTTCATACTTGAAGCATACTACTGACTGTGTTCTTCATCTTCACTGTATGTGTTTCTCCATATGTTAAACAACCGTGATCACGACTTAAACAACATTCAATCAGAACCAACGTCTACCCCTTTTTTCTTCAAGAATTCCCTGGCTTCAACAATATCCTACAGAAGAAACAGCAAATGAACAACGATAAGATATGCTTTTAGTTAGATTTTCATCACCCTGGACCCTTTTTCCAATGATATGATCCTTTTATTCACAATGAAATGCTAAGAAGCCGAAGCCCTTGTTTCCCCGGCACTATCTTCACTAACAATAACCTTGTCAGCTAGCAGAAAAGTAGGCAACTATGTAGCTCGGATTCTCCAAAAATGTTAACCACCCTTCTCCACTTTTGGAGGATCCAGCACCAACCGGTCAACATTTTTGAAGAGTCCGAGCAACAGAGGTAGGCAGTATTTCTTGAATCAAAAGTGCAACTTTACCTGCTGTAAGAAAAGAGCCTCTTGAGGACATGTGGGAAAATTCATTAGACCAACGCCAACCATTAACAGACCATAGCAACCAAGGGACACAATGAGGTATAAAGGCAACTGCAACAACGATAGCAGTAAACTAAGAATCACTGAAAAGTAAGAAACTTTAACAAAATGTCAATGACAAAGGTAACAGAAAGATGGTCAATCAATAAGAGCTCACCAGCCAGGTATAGCTCTCCGGAATAGTTGATGTCTGCAACAAGCCTATCCAAACAGCAGTTACTGCAAGCAATAACGCCAAAATCTTCACGATATGTTTCATTGGATCTGCAGCGATGCATTACTTTGATGTGAGTACTAGAGGAGACTAAAGTTTTTCATTGATTAACATATAATAGAAGTCAACAACTGAAACATTAAGAAGCCAACTAAATAAACTTTCAGGGTGTGTTTGGTATGAAGGAAAATAAGAGGTTATCTTACTTATTTTCCAGTGTTTTGGTTGGAGAGTGGCAAAAAAATTTCAACGTTGGTAGGTGAGTGAAATATTTTCCATTCTTTGGTTGTAAGGAGAAGGTTTGCTAACAATATTACAGAAATGGCTTCTGTGTTATTCTCTAACCCCCGCCCCCACCCCAAATTGATCTACATCTATAAAACAACAAAGGGATTTTTACACAGTATAACCGCCATGCAAAAAAGTATCCGGCAGATGTATAATATATATATATATATATATATATATATATATATGTGAGTTGCTGTGTATAATTTATGTACATCAGCTAGGGGTTGTAAATATTTTTGGCCGAGAGGCCAAGTGTGTAGAAAGTCACAAACAAATGCATTGTTAACATGAAACTTCACGGCCTATGTGGATGTCCAATGTTAGTTGATATTGTGATCATTCCTTCGAGAGTAAACTACTTTTCTATGTCAGAATCAAAGTCAATGCAAGAAAACAGAAAGCAAAGACCTCCATATTATTTTTCAAAAAGATATAAAAACTTTAAATCCAGACTAACAAAATACTGGATGATGCAACGAACTAACAAAACTCTGGAGCACTATATGAAAGCCAACAACTAAAATCCGGTATGGATACAGAAGATCAGATAGAAAAAAATGAAAGAACTAAAACCTACTGCCAACCCCATCTTAGCAATGTTCTTCTAACTGATGATGTGTTTTAGTTTTGTTGCTTGAATCTTTCCAACCACAAATATTCCATTGGTTTTCACCACATAAATTATTTCTCACCCTTTCTCTCCATTTGTTTATTGTTACAGGAAACGTATCAGATCTACATTCACCAGATAAGCAAGCATTATCAACAACATATTTTCTGTAACAACTCTTATTTCACAATAGAAACATTCAAATATTATAATCACTACACTCAAAGTTACAACGGGAAAATGGAACTCACAAGGAAATTGCAGAACAAAAATGGACTAGTAAAACAAAGAAACTATTGAAGAGGATAACTAGAAAGGAGATGTAAAGCTTAGACTCAAAGAAAGGGGATGAGAGGACTAGACATTTTTCTCAACAATCTGCATAAGTCTAATTTACTCCCACAAGTTGTATTTATCAACTCGAATCCCAAACATAGTCTCTTAATTCGGTGTTGAGCTGGTTTGCCCATACTGGTCCTGGCCCGTTCATAACAATACCTCCCTCCTGAATACAAACCTTGTTCTCAAGGTTCAAGTACAGCAATGGCAACGATAAAAACTATCACTCTCGTAAAGTGAAACATGCTTCGCTATCTCAATTCCATTAGGGAGTAGTGTGATAACACTTCCGTAACTAAGATGCAACACAAATATTCCCTTTTGCTTTCCAAGCCAGAGCATTGGTTGATGATTACATTTAAATGGTTGATCCAACTCCTCAACGGAATTCAGTACAACAATTGATTTGTGCAAATGCAAGGCCATGTAACAGATTCTTAAAGAAGTTGAGAACACTAGAATAGCTGATAGTGTATCCTCATGGTCATGGAAAGGAAGTAGATTAGTGTACCATGGAACAGATAAAGAGTCGGTCCAACAGTCCAAAAAGTAATACAGGGGACAATCATTTTCTGATCTCATCATTTTCTTATCCATTGACTTTCTTGCTGGCATATCATTGCCTTCTCCAATATCGAAAATCCCCACTTCAATATTTAAGAACACAACAACTTTGATGGAATATACAATGCAATGTCATTCACCTAAACCAACTGTGAAAACTAGTAGAGTTGAAACAAGGAGAGATATCGAAGAGACAGGAGGCTCGGCATCTCCAAAAGCATTTAAGTAATCAACACTGCCAGTGAGTAAACCAAAGATTAAGTCGGCTGTAAACATTTGACAAGGAATGAATAAGATCTTAGTGTCTAGAAATGTTCATGCATCTGTTGTAAGCAAATAGATGACGACCTCCAGAAGCCATAAACTGAGAAGCAGCAGCAAATCTTTGTTGCTGTAACGCTTTCACATGCAAAATCTCATCAAAACAGTCAACATTGCTAGGAGAACCAATAATAGCACCACCAGACTGATCTGGTAAATCACCAAATCCACCATACATAAACATACAACCATTTCCATTCTTCCAAAATCCTCTAGCGTTATACATGCAAGGCCTCTAACCAAACCCATTATTACCGCCACCATCGTCATCAGATCCACCAAGAAAAAACATCATTCACTGAACAACTCCTAAGATGAAACTGTTTTTCTTGATTTTCCTCACAAAACCCATCGTATCACTTCTTCCACTTGGACTCATAATTGGGTAAAACAACTGATCTTAATTTGACCCATAAAAGCTTGAAGACCCAGAACCATTCACAACAACATCATACGACACTGGTCGAGGACTTCTTGAGAAAACCGGCAGTGTTCACCAGACCATGGAGAAGAAGAAGGAGAAGAATGAAACCCATTGTTCGGTATCATGATTCTAGGGGAAGATTGTGGAAATGGGTTGAATTTATTTGCATTTGAAACGGAACTAAAAGGAGGTGTCGAAGGTGCAGATGAACAGTTCGAAAAAAGTCCTAAACAAGCTTTTGCTTGATTTATAATAGAAATTAACAGATTTTTTGTACCAAATTCTAGTCTAATCATCTCCTTAATCACCTTGGTTTAGAATAAGTAAATAACCCATGATTTTTGAAGCATTTTCTGGATCCAAACTTTGAATTCTTGATAAAACTGTTTTTGTTGATTCATATGAATCCATGGTGATTTATTTTCTGTGCTAAAAGATTAGTGCAACATTCACTACTATTTTATGGCAGCTTCACTTTTCACAAACACAAATCACCTTAAAATCCACCAATAACTCTAATCCCATAAACTTTTACAGAAACCCCAATACAATTTCAGGTAATTTGATCACACCCAGATGATAAAAATCTAATCTTTTTCACCCAAATCACCTAAAAATCCACCAATAACTCTAATCCCATAAACTTTACATAAACCCCAACACAATTTTAGGTACTTTAATCACACCCAGATGATAAAAATCTAATCTTTTCACCAAATCTAAAAATCCACCAATAACACTAATCCCACAAACTTTTACAGAAACCCCAATACAATTTTAGCCAATTTAGATCACACCCAGCTGATAAAAATCAAATCTTTTGTTTAGAACAAAGAAAATAATTAGTGAAAAATAAAACTACAATCATAAAATAAAACAAACCTGATATTGAATATGAAGCCTGCTCCGATCAGTTCCAATCAGGTTTTGCAGTTGTGTTTTTCTTTTTTTAACAAAAAATAATTTAAGGTAAGAGTAATATTTTTTCTACACAATTTAATATTACCATTTAGGCAGCAGTTGACGTGTCTGCCTATTTTATTTACTTAATATTATATAAAATTTATTACTAATATTTATTTTACACTAGCGTAACAAAATATATATAATTTAATCGAATTTCGGTGCAAATATCAATCGTAAAAACGAAAATACAAGTTTTGGGAAGTTCAGAAGTGGCCCTAAAATAAGCTGTTGTTGAAGTTCCAATAATGGCAGATGGTGAACACTCTCGTCTCATTCTCCATAACTTTCTTCCTCTAGATCTTTGCAAGGTCCAATTTCCCAAATTTACAAACTTTAAAAAGTAAAAATATGAAAAAAAAAGATTCGTTCTTTTGATAATTTTACATACTATATGTGATGTTTTAATGTTTTTTTTTGTTAATGGCAGGAGTTAGAGTTTATACACAAGAGTTGTTGTACAGTAGGGTATAGGCCAAATGTGTTCTCTACAACATTATCTCATCTTATTGCAACTAATTGCGCCCCTTTGATCATGCCAATCATTCCAATCAGAGGTTTCTTTAAATTTTTTGCTCTAATTTTTCTATTCTTGAAATTTAATCTGTTTATTGGGAAGTTGATTTCTCAGGTGGTCACTCGACTAAAAGTTTATTTATCTTATAAAGTATCTTTCTTTGTTTGGAATCATGAATAAATGTGACTTTTCGAGATAATAACTACTCTATCTAATACAATTTGTTTGTCGTGTTTTGAGTTGACACGGACTTTAAGAAAGTAAAGTTTGAATCTTTGTAGTCTTAAATGAAGGATATATCAAATGTATCAAAATACTTTTTTGTTTTGTGGTTTTAAACATGCAAGTTATTAAAGATTTGCCAAAAAAAGGAAGTAAGAAGCATGTCTTTTGAAACGGATAAAAGAAAAGTAGGACAACCAAATTGAAACGGAGAGAGTATTAGTTGAGAGATTATTTGAGAAATCAACCTTTTACCGGCCCCACAAAGGTAGGGGTAAGGTTTGCGTATACTCTAATCTCCTTAGACCTCACTTGTGGGATTACACTTGGTATGTTGTTGTTGTAGTTTCTGTTTACTGTGTAATTTCAGTATAAAGTTGATAATTTTTGCTTAATCTTTGATTTTTGCTTTATGGGTGTTTGGTAGAGAGGCTAAGGGAGAAAGCAGAAGAGTATTTTGGTTGCCAGTACGAGTTGTTTGTCGAATTCACTGGTCTGATCAGGTTGAGACTCCATTTCTTTCCCTTCTAAACTTACTTATGATCATATCCTTTTTATAGTGAACTCTGCCTAATTGAACTTGGTAAAACATAGTCCGTCTCAAGCCTTTGCGGAGACAACATTGTGGCTACGGGTTTGGCGGAATCAAGTATCTTAGGCTCAAACTCTGTATTGTATTAAAAAAAGTCATTTAATATGTATAAATAGTCTATCCAGACTTCGGTAAGCAAAATAAATTGTGATTCAGAACCCATAATCTAAAAATCCTGGCTCTGCCTCTGGTCTCAAGCATGGATAGAGGAGGATGATTAGTTTAGGATGTGAACTTTGTCTACCTCTAACTACATGGACTTGGATGGAGGAGAACGAATAAATAGGATTTATATACAGGCTTTTGCAGCTATTTAGCTGATATCGTTGTATATGCCTTTTCAATTTCTAGAGTTGATAATTGAGAGAAGCCATTAGATATAGAGAGGTGACCTGTTCAACAAAGAAAAAGACTTTGGGTCAGTTTGGTAATAGAACATGAGTTTCTTGGACAACTTAAACCATTTCTTGTCGCAGTAGAAGATATATTTCCCCAATGTATCATCAATCACATTGTTTCTCCTTCAGGATTTTATCCTTCTTGTTTTTGATCGTAGTGAAATAAAAATCTTCACTGCTATGGAGCTATTTGTCTAATGTTCCTTTTGAATTACAGCTGGTGTAGAGGAGCAAGCATCGGTTGGCACAGTGATGATAATAGACCTTACCTTAAACAACGGGATTTTGCGGTGCGTTCTTTACTTCTTGTTGTATTTTTCTGTCGTTGTTATTTGCTACATATTGTTAGTTTTATGATATCAACAATGTATTGCTTCGTCTTGCAGATTGCTGTTATTACTTATTAGTATTCATGTTTCTCAAAATCGTTTTTGTTGATAAAACCAACAACATTTTCATGCCAGCTAGACATGATTCTTAGTGATGGATACTTGTTTATTGATTTTCAATTGTTAGCCAATAAATGTAGAAAATACACTCTCCCCCTTCCTCGGGTTGGTGAATATGCAGGACAGACAAAAGCTGACAGCCTCTATTCACATTTGGTTTGGAGAACAAAAGTTGACTTGTGCCCATATTCATCCAGTATAACATAGTAATATGATCTATATCATCAAGATGTGTCGTATCTTCCTAGAAATGAAGACCAAAAGGCCTCGCAGTTGACAACAGAGTTATATAGTTAAATTCTTCACTTAGGTTTATTTTTGTTTTTCATGATTAATGAAGCACTAGCTGACTTTTTGGGCGGAGGATTAGGCAAGGGGATCATCTCTGTTACTGTATTATTTCATCATGGGAATCTTACAGTAAACTAGTGACAGACCTGTAAGAGTAGCTGCATAAGTGGATTTAGGTTGGATAACAGATAGGGACACCATGTGTCAGTTTCGTACTTATTTACTTGTGGATATACACTCATTATTTTGTATGATATTCCAGACAGTTTTGCTTCCTCAGAAACTTTGTGTGGTTTGAAGCGGTATATGGACTTCATATCAAACATGGCAAAGTTAGAGCTCATTCTAGTTGGGTTAGTTCATGACGTTCATAGTGGATTGACTACCTAACAAATATTTGAGGATGCCTTCGGGTAAGAATTTAGAGAGATTGAATTATGGCAAGTGGTAATTGAGAAAGTTGAAGATTTTGGAAGGTAGAAAGAAACCATAGTTACTTTGAGGGGATGTGCGTCTGCTCTTTCAAGTATACCCATATAATCCTCCTTATTCTGGATCCTATCGTCAATTTTCTAGAAGTTGGAGATAGTAGTAGGAATATTGAACAAATGGAGACGAAAAATATCATCTTGTTGAGTGAAAAGGTGGTTCCTCTGTGTAGTTTTAGCCTTCAAAAGCTCACTTTTAAACCATGCATAGTTGGATAATTGGATATAAAGACTTGCTTTTGCAGATGATGCTTGATGAAAACAAGTTATAGTTGCAAAGTATGGATTTTTGATTGCAGATGGTTTTTGCAGGAAATGATAGACCCACTTAGTGTGAGTTTGTGGAAGGGGATCACGAAAGGAAAGAGTTCCCAATATTAGTCCGCTTTGTAGTTGAGAGTAACCAATATTCGATTATGTTATGATGTCTGGTCTGAGAATTCAGCATTTAGAGATTTGTAACATGTGATGTATGCATTCTGAAATCACTGAAATCATGGTGGCTAATCTTTTTATGATGAACAATTCTGAGATGTCCTAGAGTGTATGTTTTTGCTATACTTCTTCAAGATTAGGAATGGGATGAACTGATAAAGTATTTCCAGAAAATTTCCATCTGCTCTTACTTTGTTAATAAGATGATTGGATGCTTTGGAAAATGTCAAACATGAAGCATTTCTCGTCAGTTCTTTTAAATGGATGTGCTACATAATGCTTATGGAAGCATGTCTTGAAAATGTGTGCACCAAATATATTAGCTTTCTTTACTTGGTATGCAACCTAGAATGCTATCCTAGCAGCAATAATCTTATGAGTAGATAATAGATTGTTGTAAGTTTGTGTTTTATGGGCAAAACATTGGTTTAGATGTGTCTCTTATTTTCTATGTTGCAACCTTTGTTGGACTTAGGCTTGGTAGGGGTTAAGGATGATTGTCTTCCACCTTGCCCTTTTTTGAGTTATTTGGAGAGAAATAGATAAGAATGTGAAGGTGTTAAGTGATCATCTTGGAGTGTGATGAGTTCCAATTTATTTTTATTGCACTTTTGGCATATTGTATATATGTATTTATTATTTCTTATGAAGTATGTTCTCTTTTGTTTATTCTCCTTTATGAAGTGTATCCTTTTTATTTCTCCTCCTTTTTCTTTTCTCTTTCATTTGGTTCCTTGAGAGTTCCTTCCGTTTTTCTCTTTTTTCTATCTTGACATCCTCCCACCTACATGAACAATACTTGGCTCTCTTTTCCCGTCTTTGTAAAAATTAGTGCAAGTGAGATCAAAGAATCTTATATACAAAGTTAAAGATGATCTAGAAATAGAGAAGGTGAGGTAGCGGAACTACAAAAGTTCTATTGCAGATATATCAAATTGGATTTTAGCCTGTGTTTGGCCAAGCTTTCGAAATCTGCTTATTGAAGTGCTTTTTGTCAGAATTGTTTTTCGAATAAAGTACTTTGGAGAGTAGCAGGTTGTGTTTGTCTAAACAATTTGAAAAGCACTTTTGCAATATTAGAGCAACAATTTGTGCCTGGTCAAGGTTCTAAATGTTCATTTTGGGAAAATATACTTCCAGCTTCTGAAAAACAGCTTATGCTACTATTCAAAAACACTTTTTTTCCTCTAAAAGCTTGGATGAACACCTCAACTCTCTAAAACAAGCACTCCTTTTTTATTTTTAAAAAGGCACTGTTGGCTTTCAGAAGGTTGGCCATGCTATTAGTCATCGGAGTTGGATTATAAAAGAAGACTATAGGTGAATTTAGTTATGGTCTGGTGGTGGCATGAGTGCTGTTAAGAAGGTTGGTCAGAGGTTGACCGTTTTCTCTCATATCCAACATGAAATCTTACATGTCATGTTGGCGTGATATCAAGTGGCATATTATGTCAATATTTTTTTTTTGAAAATGAGGAAAATAAAGCTATTACCATCTGGATTATAGCTTCTTATGGTCTAGTGTGCTGAATGAATATAACTTCTGCCTTGTAGTGATACATAAGGTCAAAATGTGGTAACAGAGACGATTAATCAAATGGGTTCATTATGGATATTGGTCTGTTAGTGGATGTTAGGATATCTGATATTTGCAGAAC